CATTAATATATGGAAAATTTTGATTGACGTTTGGAAATTTCTTTCGTTTTTACTTTGAAAAAGTGGATTTTTAAATTTTTGGAAATTTACGAAAAATTTAACAACTTTTTGAATTTAATTTAAAATCTTAAACCATTTTTATAATATCTCATTAAAAAAAGATTAATAATAAATATCTTATAATTTAGATATTAATATTTTATATATAAATAAATTTAATAAAATATTTTCAGTTTCTTTTAATTAGATTAATGGCAAAATCATAATTTGCTCCCTTGTAGGCGATTTTGGTACAGATATTCAAATAATTGAATGAGAATAATTTTACCTTTCAATTTTTTTATCTGAGAAAAAAAAAAAATTAAAAGATTTTTAAATCTTTTTATGGTACATAATTTTTACCGATTCTTACCGCCAGCCGCGGGGTCTCGGCTTCGCTCGACGCCCGCTAGGAGGTATGTAGCCTCGGTAAAAAATATTTTCTTTCAATTTTTGAATGTACTTACAAAAAGTCTCTTTTGGTTAATCAGTACCGCGATTTTTTATCTGGATTAATCTCTGAGTGAAAAGTAGTGTTAAACTCGTGGCTCATTATTTATTGAATTTAAAAGTGTAATTATCAACTTCTTAATTATAGCCAAGTTGAAACGTAGATAACATTATTTATTGAATTTAAAAGTGTAATTGAATACTTCGGGAAGATCGGGAAGGGAATATTTGAAACGTAGATAACATTATTTATATTTGTAAAGTCCCCCCTTAATAAACCCACTTTTTCAAATATAAACTTAAAAAGTTAATTTTGACAAAATTACTAATGTCAGAGCCAACCAGTAACAATTTACAACAAAACATGCCTCTAAAAAAATCTAATAATGTGGATAAAAATCAGCAAAATCTTAATTATGCAACTAATCAAGAATTTCAAAAATACTTGGATTGGAAAAAAGAACTTTATCAAAGTCTTATATCTTTTCTAGAAAATCCCAATAGCAACGAAAAAGATTTCCAAAATTTAATTGAAATAATTGATATTCAAAATCACAAAGAAGATCGAGAAGAATTTGAAAATTTTCTTAAATTAATAGCGAATATTTCAAGTAATCATCATTATGACAAATTATTCTTCGAAAAAATTTTTCAAATTATCATCCATTACATTCCTCAAATCAAACAGATCTTCTCAAATTTTGAAATATACTGCATATTTGAAGAAAACTTAAAAGTTCTCCTTTTTCTTTTTGAAAGCAAAATCATATCGATTGACGACCAAATATACGAACAAATGATTTTCACACAGAATCAGAATGAAAAATTTTCTTATTGTCACTTTTTCTATCCAGAAATCACGAAATTTTTCGGTGAAGAAAAAACGGAAGATATCAAAAAAGAACTTTTATCATTAGATTCCAATGTTTTTGATGAATTTGATAGAAAACGCCATGAAGGGGAAAATGACTCAATTATTTGTTCTTTGATACGAGAAGATTCAATCCAAGAATTTAATTTGTATGTTCAAATGAGTGGGATTAAGTTAAACAGAGTTGTAAAGCATTCAATTTTTGAGACGAATTTATTTTTGATTATGAATCCAAATACAACATTGATTGAATATTCGGCCTTTTTTGGTGCCCTAAAAATATTTAATTACTTGCATTATAAAAAAGTTAGTATAAAACCTCGTATATGGCTTTTTGCGATCCATTCGCAATGCGCAAGTCTTATTCATCTTTTGGATGAATATCGAATTCTTCGACCACCAGTAGAATATCATGATGAATGCTTGTTTGAGTCGATTAAATGTCATCATAATAACATCGGTTTTTATATAGAAAACCAATTTTTATATGAAGATGATGAATCAAGAAAGAACGAAATAATCATATCAACCATTTTTCAATCTCACAATCTTGATTACTATCCAAATGACTTTGATAGTAATAATTTATTTTTTAATCTATGCCAGAATGAAACAAAAGAACTTGTAAATCTTTTCATTAAAAAGAAAGAAGAATATTACGAAGAAATGATTGAGAAAGGAATTTTAAAATTTGGTATTTTTAATAAAGTTTCATTAATGGAAGCAGCATATCAAAATAAAATTGTAATTCTTTATTATTTGTTACTTCATGAATCAAGCATTCCTAATTGTTGTTTTATGGGTAGTCAATTAATTAACGTTGTTATACCTTCTTCTATTACTTCAATTGGAAAAAATGCTTTTAGCAGATGCCAAATGCTTCAAGAAATAATAATTCCTTCTTCCGTAACTTCAATTGGAGAAGGTGCTTTCAGTGGATGCATCATGCTATTTCAAATATCACTTTCTCCTTCATCTTCTTTGGCTTCAATTAGTGACTTCTTATTTAAAGAATGTGTATTTCTGCAACATTTTGTAATTCCTTCTTCTGTAACTTCAATTGGAAAAGGCGCTTTTGAAGGATGCAGAGGACTTAAAGCAATAAAAATTCCTTCTTCAGTAACATCAATTGAAAGCTTTGCCTTTTGTGATTGCATATCATTACAACATATTGATATTCCTTCTTCCATAACTACAATTAAAGAGAGCACATTCTCACGATGTTTTCATTTAAGTGATGTTAAGATTCCATCATCTGTGAAATCGATTGAAAAAGAAGCTTTCAATGATTGTCGCTTTCTTAAACAGATTGAAATTCCTTCTTCTGTAGTTTCAATTGGCGAACGTGCTTTTTATAATTGTCCATTATTGGATTCAGTAAAATTGTATCCTTCAATAACTTTCATTGAAAAAGAAGTTTTTGGTAAATGCAAATATTTGACTCATATCGAAATTCCTTCATCAGTGAAAGGAATAGGCGAAGGATCTTTCAGTGAATGCGACAGTCTGTCACAAGTAACAATACCAGCTTCTGTAACATCACTTGGATCGAGAGTTTTTGAAGGATGCAAGTCGCTTAAAGAAGTGATATTGCCTTCATCAATAACGTCAATTGGTGACTTATTTTTCAGTGGATGCACGTCACTTGAAAAGGCGACATTTCCGACTTCTTTAGAGTCACTTGGATCATACATTTTTGAAGGATGCGAGTCGCTTAAAGAAGTGACAATACCTTCATCAATAACAATAATTGATGACTACTTTTTCAGTGGTTGCACATCACTTTCAAAAGTGACAATTCACTCATCAATAACAGCAATAGGTGATCATGCTTTTTCTGGATGTGTTTTATTGAAAACTATTGAATTGCCGCAATCTTTGACATCAATTGGATCATTCGCTCTGTGCTCTTGCACTGGACTGACAAAAGTAACAATTCCTCCATTGGTGACCTCGATTAAAGAGTGGACATTCGGACAGTGCACCGCGTTGGAACAAGTGGAAATGCCTTCTTCTGTAACGTCAATTGGTAATCTTGCCTTCAAAGGTTGCACGGCTTTGAAAAAGTTGTCAATTCCTGCCTCTGTTAAATCAATCGGTAATTATTGCTTTGAAGGATGCACTTCCCTCTCGCAGGTATTGATTCATTCCTCACTGGAATCAATTGGAAATAGCGCTTTTTGTGGTTGCTCAGCATTGAAAGAAATAGAAATTCCAAATTCAATATCTTCAATTCAGCATTCTACTTTCAAAGGTTGTTCATCATTAATGCATGTGATAATACCTTCTTCTGTGACTTCTATTGGTGATTCCGCTTTCGCTTCTTGCTCTTCTTTGAAGGAAATAAAAATTCCTTCTTCCGTGACTTCAATTGCTAATTCTGCTTTTCCATCAGAAACAAAAATAATAAAGGAATGAATTATTGTTTAATTCAAATAAAAAATACTCTAATAAAATAATATTAAGCTATAATATTTTAAAAACTATTTTAAGGGGGTAGTCACTCCTTTTTCGAAGTTAAAAATTCAAATATATCTTTATAAATATTCAGTTTTTTGAAGTCATTATTTTAAAATGCAAATCTTTTAATGATGTTAATTCCAAAACAATCAATAATTACGAACACAAACAATTCCTTACCTTCTTAAAAGCATTTCATTTCAATTGAAAATAATAAATTTAAACGAGACTCCAGGCTTTTATAAAAGAAATTGGATTTTTTTAATTTTAAAAATATATATAAAAACCAAATTTTAAAAAACTAATAGAAAGCTTTTTTTGATATGTTTTAATTTTGAAATATTTCATATGATAATATTAGTACAAAAATTTAAAAATGAAAAAAACGCTCTATTAGTTTTTTTGTTATTTTTTTAATAGCGTTTTACCCCAGAAAAAATAAGAATTTATAATAGGTACGAGGCGGGAGTCTCATTTTAAATTTGAATTTATATTTGGCCCTAATTTTTTATTTTGAGTTTCCAGAGTCCACTATTCAAAAAGTTCATATCAAAAATACGAAATTTAGAATAAAAAAAGGAATGGTTTAAAAATTAATTTATATTTTTTACTTAATTGCACTTAAAAAACTATTTCTGTACTCGTATAGCAATTATTTGGCAAATTACAAATAGAATATCATTCATTTTAAATTGATTACACAAAAGATTTCTGAAATGTGCACGCGATTTTCTATGTTCACCTACGAATCTGTATTTTTTTTTTTTTTTTCTGAAATGTCATATGATATTCAAATTAATTTTTTTTTGCATACAAGAAAATGAGGGTTTGGGATAATTTTGCACGCACTGTATTAAGATCTTTGAAAACTTAAGGAATTTGGCGAATTCGATGTAATTGACGCTTTTTTTAACGATTTAGTCCGTTTCTTAAAAAAATGAAAACCGTTATTTTATCAAAAAAATACAAAAAAAATATATTTTTAAAAAATCTTTATTTCTTTTTTATTTTTTAGAAATGTATTGCAAATTTAAAGATATATTCATATACAAAAAATAATAGTCATAACTTTATCAGAGACATAATAAACTACCTCCTTAAAAAAATCTGAAGACAATTCAATAAATATTTTTTAAAACCGGATATACTGAAGGATTAATAATATATTTGTAAGTAGGCTTCCTCCCTAACTCAGTTGGTTAGAGTGTCAGACTGTTAATCTGGAAGTCGTGTGTTCGATCCACACGGGAGGAGATTTTTTTTTCATTTTTATTTTTGAGGTTTTGGTTAACTTTAGCTACATATTCGTGATCAGCACCTTCTACTGAGTCGATTGATACCACTCTTCTCGACTTTTCTCAAAATTTTCAAAACTGATTTTAATTATATTAGAACTCATATCACAAAGTCCGACCACTCGATATATCACTCAGTTATACTACCTTAGTTCATTACAATTTATCAATCTCAGCTCTTAACGTTATACTTGTCATTCGATCAGAGATATATTCTAGAACCAAAATCTCATTCTTTTACTCTTATGTTATTATTCTCCTCTCTCTCATGTTGTTTATTCAGATTCCTTCGATCATACTGTCTTATTGACTCTATTTTACATCTTTAATTTGCAGTATTTTACGTTACTTATAGACTATACATAGCTCAGATCGAAGTTAATTTACTCTCTTTGTTATTGGAGTCGCCCTCTTTTATTGAGTCCACTTGATGTTCCTTATCTCTTCCGGGCCCTGAAGAGTGCTTGACGGCTGCCGATTAAACTTTGACGGATATATATATCCTATTTAAGTTGCTATGGCTCAATGCGTCTATAGACTCAACGGATGGATGCCCATGAGATCCATTCAGACGACGATCATATGGCTTTCAATTGTTGATCGTTCATTATTCAATTAATACTCGTTCCCTCTCAATTAATTGAATATTTTTTTAATTGTTCTGTTGCTCCTTATGTTCAAGTTGGTCTCACTTTAAAGGTTTAAGCATACCTTTTTTTCTTACAAAATTGCTTTTTTGATTGAAAGTTTTGCGAACTTTCGCTTCCTTTTTGCTTTTATGCATTTCTAACCGCTTTTAATAAACAATCCACACGGGAGGAGATTTTTTTTTAGTTTTCATATATGCTTTTTTGCACGACCAAACCTAGATTTTCCGAATTAGCACTCGACGCTGATTCGATTGATACCAAAATTGATGATTTTGGTGGAAATTTTTCTGATGATGATGCAAATGGAACACCCGAATTTCGCAGTTTTTCGCCTCAAATTAGTACAGTAGATAGCCCTTTCAATATAAATTACAACAAACTCGCTACTTCTCCAATATCTCGCCACTCAAGAGAGATCAATTCAAAGACGCACCAAAACGGGGACCAGTTTGCCCCGAACACAACTCAATCAAATACACAGCCTCGATATGTTCCAAATGTTCCTCATAATCTTCCCTCGCAATACTCACTCACAGATCGAATTTCATATCCTACGGAGCAGCGGCACCCGCCGGTTGGACCTGCTCCTATCAACATACGGAGTACCTCACAGAGCGATTCCAACGTTTCCCCAGACTTTTCAGATTCCGAAGAATTTAGATCAGATGCGCATCAAAGTGATTCTACGAGCCGACCAAATTGCGCCAGAAATCTCATAGTTCCTAATACACAAAGGACGACAGAGGTACTCCTGCAGTCAGGAGTACACTATAATCCAACGAATCCAGAGGGTGGTCAGAACCCCTCATGGTTCGTCATTACGAGCGATCCTTCACTGGCTGCCCGTTCCCCTCTGAGTTACCTTGCAAAGGATAAGTCAGTTGAAGGTGTATTGGTTGCCCGAGGACAAATGATCATTTCGAATGGGCAACCAATACTCGACCGTAACCGCCAGGCAGTACCTGCTTCAGATGCAGAACTCAGCCAGAAGGTGCTCCTCCCTGAGACCTTCGTCCATCCGAGCACGGTTCCGGCGGCTCCATTCAATTTTTGCTCCTTCCCACGTTCGCCTTTTGTTTCCCATGTATACAATGTATTAAACTCGCTGGCGGTCTCATTCTCGTGCAACATCGGTTGCAATAATCACTTCACCGACTTTTCAAATCACATGTCAGTCATGAATACCAATATGTTCAATGTTAATAATAGTAATAGTTTCACTAATAATAGTTTCATTAATAATAATATCTCTAACTATAATGTTTCTCATAACAATGTTAATCTTGTTCATCATAGCGTTGACGTCGACAACCAGACTGTCGAGTCAACTGCTCATGTAGCTCACCACAGCGTTGACGTCGACAATCGGGTTGTCGCGTCAATGGCTCATGTTGCTCATCATAGCGTTGACGTCGACAATCAGATTGTCGCGTCAACGGCACACGTGGTACATCATAATGTTGACGTTGACAATCAGATTGTCAAGTCAACAGCCCACGTCGCTCATCATTCTGTTGACGTTGACTATCAGACTGTCAAGTCAACAGCCCACGTTGCTAATCACGCTGTTGACGTTGACAATCAGATTGTCAAGTCAACAGCCCACGTCGCTCATCACGCTGTTGACGTTGACAATCAGATTGTCAAGTCAACAGCCCACGTTGCTAATCACGCTGTTGACGTTGACAATCAGATTGTCAAGTCAACAGCTCACGTCGCTCATCACGCTGTTGACGTTGACAATCAGATTGTCAAGTCAACAGCTCACGTCGCTCATCACGCTGTTGACGTTGACAATCAGATTGTCAAGTCAACAGCTCACGTCGCTCATCACGCTGTTGACGTTGACAATCAGATTGTCAAGTCAACAGCTCACGTCGCTCATCACGCTGTTGACGTTGACAATCAGACTGTCAAGTCAACAGCTCACGTCGCTCATCACGCTGTTGACGTTGACAATCGGGTTGTCGCGTCAACAGCTCACGTCACTCACCACAACGTTGACGTTGACAACCAAACCGTCACGTCAACGGCTCACATCACGCACCATTCTGTTGGCGTTGACGATCGGGTTGTCACGTCAACTGCTCACATCGATCATCATCAAGTAGTCACGAAGGAGAAATTATTCACATCAGTGATTGAGGTACCTAAGTTTGTGTTCGAGATCAATGAGAAAGTGGTTCCACTATTTACTCTCTCTGGGAACCATTCGTTGCTTAACACATTCTCAAACAATAATTTCCTCGGATCTCGAACCAACTCCTTAGGTACTCAAACTACCAGTAACTCTTCTGGTACAAGCAGCGTTGTTAGTGGTGCCGAAGAGTTCACCGATGCTCATTCTCACTCTGAACACTCTGATCATTCCGATGATGACAATCACGGTGGTAGTGATGATAATCCTTCTTCACCTGTGGGTGACAATGTTTCCATTGATTGGATCGTGAGCGAACTGGCTGGTGTGAAGACCAAAACAGACATGAAGTCTCTCATTGATATCTTGCAGGTGGCAAACATCGACACTTCACCATTCGCAAACGTTAGCGACGTTGACACTCCTATCATTTTCCTCATGTATCAGAAAGACAGATGGTTAGGAGTTGGACAGTTTTACTGCCCTTGCTGCGACAAAACGTTTCCCACATGTGCGTCCTTGTCTTTTCACCTCAAATCGACGCACACGACGAATAACATTCCTCTGGAGCAAGCGGCGTTCGAGTACATTGTCGGCAGGAAGCTGAGGTGGAAGATCGATTCACCTCACCTTCCGCCTGACGCTTTTCACTATCGTACCATTCACGTTTGTCCGTGCAGCGACTGCGACTACTTGGTCAGCAGAGCGAACTCATTGAGCAGCCACATGGGCTCATCGCACCAGGACATGGAAGCGCTTAAACGTGAAGTTGGTGTCTTCTGGGCGATGAGCATTCTGCACGCTAAGAAACATCGGAAATTACTTGTGGCTAGCGATGTTTACCATGACCTGCACGGTTCCTTGTGCATGAAATGCAAGGACTTCGTTGGTAGAGACAAAGCTACAGTCAAACAGCATACCAACAGATCACATCCCCAGGCCAATGTTGAAGGTCATCGGGTTCAGGCAATCGACGTCAGTATATCCGTTAATTGGCTTTCGCCTGAAACCGATGACGATGAAATTCGTGAAGCCAACACTGACCTGGAGAGAATCAAGATTGTGAGGAGTGAGAACAGAGTCACTCAAGATGATGAGAGACAGATGCCAGTGCAACCTCGGGCAGACGAATCGGTGGATCTCCAAGTGATGGAAGATCGTCGTCGCGGGGAAGACTCACGCAGACGGAGACGACAGGCTGGGTTCATACCTGCCAACGAGAGACTACCTGAGGCGCACTTGCATTCAGTCTCTTCTTCTAGCGAAGAAGATACTCACACAATTGATGAACATCCGGCTCACCCAGCGTCAGCTTCGATCGTGGACATTGAGAGTTGCCTGTCCAAAGCTGAGAATTGGAAGTCGAGGTGCATGAAGGAAGATGATGATTTCGTGCACCTCCCGAAGCTGTGGGGTGACCGTTTAGCGAAGCACAGGAAAAAGTTCGAAGATGTGTTTAACAGTGAAGTCAAGGATGTTCTCAATTGGTATAATGAAGCTATTAACCTCTCTGACTCTTTGGAAAAGAGCAGCCGAATGCTTCTCTGCGAAGGGATGATTTCGAAAATCATTCTCATTCTACGGAAGTCGATTAGGAAGTTCGTTCGTTCGGCACGGAGAGGTTCAGATAAGATTCGTCGCCCGCATTCGTTGGAGACACCGATTCAGATGAAGTCGGCCTCCAAATTCATCGCTGGTATTGAACTCCTGCATTCCCGCATTCACATCACTGATGAAGATCTCGATCAACCTCAACGTAATGTCATCGCAGACATCAAAGAGAAGCTTGTTCGCTTTCTGTCACAGGCTCCTTTGGAGTTCTCTCAACTTCTTGGGAGTGGTGACTTGGATTCAATTGACGGTTTGATTTACGACGAGCATTACGATGAAAGGATGAAATTCATACGTGCCAAGCTAGAGGAATTGGAGATTCTCAACAACTCTCCTTCCTCGCTTGGCTACAAGAAGTTCCTTCAGAAATTCTACGCTGAAGACGCCAAACGTACACTCGACTGGTTCGTGTTGAACGACGACACACCGGAATGTGTCGTCCCAGTCGAAGATTTCGAGAACGTGTACGGGTCCTCGTGGAGCGATGCTGCTGCTCTCGGGGATGACCCAGATGGTGTTTACACTCTTCAGCGCAGAATTTCATCGAATAATTCTGATGAA